GCCCAGAGAACTGGACTGACGGAAGCGAGGATTCAGGTGAATATCGCATGATGTTAGCTAATTTACTTTATTCATTAACGTAAAATATCACATCATTCATGAACACAATTCGAACAGAATTTCTGATTATCCAATCTTAATTATCTTTTTATCAGAAATTATTTAATAATTATTATTTTATTAAAAATTGTTAAAAATATGTCTTAAATTAAAGTCAAATTATTTTCGATAAAATTGTTTTGCTAATGAAGATTTTGTAACGCTAATTACAATTCAAGTACGAAGCAAAGAATAGATGTAGAAGCAATGAAAGCCGGGATATTGCTTGCACTGTACGTTATACACTATCCATCCAATGGCGCAACATCCTAAGACGGGACGGGGCATACCTCTCATGAGGTTTTCGTAACAATGGATTTTTTTCCGGAATTAGATTGTTAGTCTAATATCAAACCTCCAGCTTGAAGAGATCCATACATATATCCATTGATACCTGCAGTTTAACGCAGATTCGAACAGCGAACCGCGAAAAATCGCGTATATGGGGTGCAGGTGAGATCGAACTCGGATTTACAAATCGCGAATCAAATCGCACTGAGTGGTGAGCCACTCGGTGCTCTTATACACAGCGCGAGTAAAAAACGTTAATGCCTTTATCACGATTACCGTCAAATCGATTTCATCAAAAAGGTGCTACCGTCAAATGTCATGTACACCATTTCAGGTGTGGTTCAGCAATCGCAGGGCGCGACTCCGCAAACACAGCGGTAACATACAGCATCCGGTGACGAACCTGCAGTTGACGACCTGCCAATACGCAGCTAATCACGAGCTCGTACAGATACCGCAGGTGCCGCAGATGCCGAGCGGAATACCCCAGGTACCCACCACGTTGCATCACAGCCCGACGACGCTGCATCAGGCGCCTAACAGCGTTCACCAAGTCTCCGGCAGCACCGCTGTCGCCCAAATGGCGAGTACAATGGCTCAGGTACCCACTACGAGTAGCACTCTTCAGGGACACGCAGTCACTATTTCCGGTCATATCGGCTCGCTTCCTGCACACGCAACCTCCGTGCAACTCGCGCAGGTACCAACAATGCAACCACCCATCGCGCATGGTGCGCCATCGCTTTCGCACAATGCCGGTGAGTACTTTATAAGATCTTGCGAGTCACTGAGTTTTCTTGGAAGAGTCAGAAAACTATACTAAGTAGAAGCATATAGGCAGTTATAGGCAGTATAAGGCTGTGTTCTACTTGATGCTCGCAACGCTCTTGGAATCATTTCAACCTTGTTGTTTAATATGTTAAAATATGTTCAACAAAAATGTTTAAAAACAAATACAACAACAATGTTTAAAAACAAATATATTAATAAATATAGGTTGCAAATTTTTGAATTTGAAATACATTAAAGTGCCAAAGTATAATGAATGCCTAAATTCGAAATCTTACGTCTGCGCCAAAATATATTAATTATATCTATTTTGTCTATTTTGTCTTCGACTTTTAGGTAATACTGATTGGTCCAGAACACAGCTCAGCTGGGGACAGTTCAATCATTTTCAGAGCAGCGACTACGGCAATCATCAGCACGGGAGTTCCCAAAGTACTCAGCCTTCAAGTACTTCGAATACGGCGGGGACAACGCCAGAATGGTATGACCAAGGTTACGATTATGCTCAGCACACTCAACTTAATTATCACCGAAGTATGGGTGGAATATTTTAACTAATCAGTCAATTAGTTAATCTCTATTGTATAAAGAGATTAACTATCTATCTACATATTTTAACTATATATATGTATATATATGTACTATTTATATATATATGTATATAAAATAAATGAATATATATATGTATACATGATGTCCCGCAAATTTTTGCCAAGCGCTTTTGTGTAGAGCGGATTAAACTGAATTGAAAAGTTCTCTACTATTTTGCAATTTTCGCAATGATTAACGAGATATTAATTTTTATTCAAATATTATCAACTTTATAGAAAAACAATGAAAGACAAAAATTGTTTATTTTCTTCTCACAGAGTTTTGAGAATTTTTTAAGAATATTTTAATACCG